AAAATATTTCACTCAATAAATTATAGTGCTTGACCTTGGTAAGCACTCCATAAAAGGCACAGTAAAACAAGCATTTTACATGTAAATTGGTCTACTCTTTCAGAACCAGTGAATTGAAAACAGAGCTAACAGATTTGAGTCATAAAAGATTGCAGCTTGTAAAAGGATTGGATGAATAATGAATTCTCTGTGGATCCCTTTTTTTCACACTTCACTATTTGACAGCATTAGGTTAAAGTTCGTAAATCACTGTCAAGTTTCATATAGTTCTTACAGTTCCATTTATCCATTCCTGTCTATTACATTTATACTGCATTTTGACTGGATTTATTCAATAAAACAATTATTAGACTTCTTAGGTCTTAAATTGGTAAAATGTTATATTGGCTGCTGTAACAAAAAAATATACTTTCCCTTGCTGGGGTTACTGAGAGTCATACAGTCAAAGTTATAGCAGAGATGTGGCCATAGAAAGAGAATCAGCTCTGTGTGATCATGCAGCTGTTGTTAATGCTCAATAAACATAAAGCAAGTCTGCAAATTAAAATGAACTACTGTTGAGTATATGGCCTGAACTATGTTACAAATCTGCTGTGGCTGAAAACTCTAATTCAGCATTTCCCAAAATTCAAGTGAAACCCCTGCCCATGAAATCAATAAGCACCCCCTTTCAAGTCTGCCATGGGTTGTTTTCCGTTGGTTGATAGGTTGGTTTTGCTTTTTTTAAAAGCCTATCCAAAATGAGCAGTCACCTACAGTAATTTGTATAGACCCTCATGGTATGATCCTTCTTCTACTTTCTTATATGCTTTGAGAAGCAGTGAAATAGTTAACTATGGCATTTAAGTTAGCACCTTTTGAAATGAAAGGACTAGTTAACATCTCCTAGGTATTGTCAGCCACTCTGCAAAATCAGGAAGATATCATGACACTTTAAAAAAAATTTCACAACCATAACAGCTGGAGACTTCTTTCTGTTTTCATTAAAAACAAATAAACAAACAAACAAACAAAAAACACTCGAGAACAAGTGAGATGTCTGTCTGCACCCAATTGCTAGCTATTCTTTCACTCTGCACTAGGGAGAAGTTTTCTGATCTAAACCTATCACTTGCCCTGTACCAGTCTCAGTGAATACCAAATAAAATGAGAACACCAAATCCAGAAGGGAAGTAAGAGAAGTAAATAGGGAAGGGGTGGGGGTATTGGCATTCTGAAAATATTGTAATGACCATGCAGGTACGCAGCTTTTAATTTTCTTTCACAGGTCAGATATAAATCCCATATCATTCCTGAAAAAAGCCCCATTCAAATCATCCTACCTAACTTTATTTTCTATTTCTAACATGCATTTTAAAAAAAAAACACCCCCCCTTTGGTTCATTTGCAGCCTCTGCTTTGCCCCTGTTTAATGTTATTTTCATATTTGGACAGTGTGGTTGTTTATGGCAGTGTTTTACCAACAATGTCAATCTACCTCACATAAAGAAGATCTATAACCAACCTGAGGTTATTTTTGACCATAAGGTAAAGAGATTTGACAAGGCTGTGATGATAAATAAGGATGTTCCAGTTATGAAAATTCTTGATCAAACTGTCACCTCAAATTTAATATGAAATAATGAACAGCTCCTAGCGATATTACACTCCCATATGACAGCTGTGTTTATAGGAAGTTTGAGTGTATGCCAGTGATAAGACTTATTCTAGTTTCCTAGCAATTTGCATAGAATGTAAATAGTGACCCAGACTTAATACTAGCATAGTTAAAACGTCTTGGATATGCAAAGCAATTTGCCAACAAAGGCTAATAGCCTCATTAATATACTTGCGCTGTGTCATCTTCGTTCATGGACCCATCATGAACTGCAGTAGCGTATTGCAAGTTTATTTTGTTAGGATAGAAAATTGCTCCAAGTACTCTTATTACAATATTTAGTAATATTTTTCAAAAACAAAGAAAATATTATTTCTGCATAAAAAGAACTTTTTTGCTGACAAATCTTGTTAAGTATTCTCTGGTTTAATAACAGCATTGATGCATTGGTTATGTCTTGCAGGGTCATTCATAGAACTGTGAAAAATGTTTAGTTAAATACATGAACTTCAGCTTAATTCATGACTCAGACCACTTTTAAAACTCTTGCCCTAATTTTGATTCTTAAATGGAAACTGAGTGCTATTGAAAATCAGGGCCCAATTGTCGGAGTTGAACACCCAAAAATCTGTCAGAGGAGAGAGAACTAACTATTCTTGCTTCTATCTCAGCCAGTAGCAAGCTCTCATTGACTTCAGTAGGAGTGGACTTGGCCTACAAGTCTGGCCCTTTAGAAGGTATAAACTTTGAGGTCATTTCAGAGGAAAGTATGAAGTTGCATGAAGTACCAGGAAGTCTACTAGTCAAGGGTAAGGGCTTGTCTACACATGGAAGTATTCAGGAACAGCTATTCCTGGATAACTCGAGTGTGTGGACACACTTATTTTGGAACAAGAGTGTCTTGTTCCTGGTTAGCTTAGTCCACTTTGAAATTTCCGAGGACTTAAGCACGTGCCTATGGCCATTTTATTCAGGGCATGACTTACCCACATACTTAAGTGCTTTCCTAAATTATGGCCATAATAACTTCAGACAAGATGACGCAGAGAATTTCCATAATTCTTTCTCATGAGAATAAGCGTACAGTTGTAAAATTGTGATTCAGCCCAACTATAATTTTCTCTCAGAATGAATGAATGAAAAACCAGTGAAGTTTCATTCATCACTCCTTATCATGTTAACCTAAGCAATTTTTGAGACTTGCATGAGGACAATTAATTTTGCTAACTTGTGGCTTAATTAGAAAATGGTCTTAATCTTCTCTTCTTTTCCAGGATGGAAGTAATAGCTTAAAACTGTATCCACGTCCCGAGGCTGTTTTATATCTGGCTTTTATGAAGATGGAGGCCACAAAATATATATGTTAATGACCCAGCAGAAGGAAAGGCTGGGTCTTTCAGGGACTTTTTTCTGAGAGCCCTGTCCATACTAAAATCCTGTGCCACCAGAACACTGCAAAAGAGCCTTAAATCTGCCCTCTGTGGGCAGCTAAGGATGGGAGTATCCTCTGCTGGTATTAAATTGTTGTAGGCTGCTCTACAGCAGGCCCCTAAATCCTACAATGTAGGGTGAATGCTAGAAGGGGAGAGGAGGGAGCACACTGCATTGTGGTGAGCCTTGTCAGTGTGATTGGCACTATGAGGGCATTAGTCTGTTGCAAGTCAGAAAAGTTTTGTGCCTTTGGCTGCCGTAGTCCGAGTCAGCCTCAGAATCAGGCAAAGGTCTAACCTGGTGTAGTGGAGGGTTTAGCTTGATATATCTAAGTGGAGGTCTGAGATATTAGTACTCTGGGATGCATTCTTTTATATTTGAGTAGGTCAGTTTTTTCTAATACTGCTTATTCTTAAGTATAATTATTTAGGCATCTTGTTTGTTTAAGTACAGACAATGTGAAACATAACATATCAGATTGTTTGAAAAGCAGAAAACCAGCTTGGTTTGAATATGTTGCTGATGATGAATTGCTCCACTGGTCCAGTTGCTGCCATTCGAGTTCTGACAAGCTTCTGCACTGGGACTAGCTTGTCTATAAACATGTGCATCAGAGTGTACAACCATTGTCATGAGAGCCCTAAAGAAGTAGAATGATGACTGAAGGCTTCCTCGGGGGTTGTTCAAAGTAATTGAACAACTGAGGTTAAATCCCACATCTTGAGTGGGGGTGGGGGAATGAACAGGAGAATAAGTACCATGTAAGTTGTAGCATTAGAGGAGTAGATTATTTTAGGGAAACAGTATCCCTCCAGACTAATTCTTCATAGCATGTGGTGCTGTGCCAGCTTTCCTTGATATGAGAACTATTGAAATCTAATACTCTGAAAAACTTCTGTCAGATTTTATTTCCAAAACAGAGCTCCAACATGATTTTGTATCTTCTTTCCTGTTCAAGTAGGAAACATAGCATTGTTTCTAATATACTAGCTTTAGTAGTCATGTAGAAAGTCTTTCAAATATAATTTTCTAGATTGTGGTTTTTCTAATGTGTTTACACTGAGTTCTGTTAACTTACATATGCCACAATCTTCAGAACATTGTCAACAGCAGAGTAATAAAGCTTTCAGTCACCTGCTCCTACTACATTACAAACAGAAATAGATAAATTAGAGTGTGGAGGAAGAGTTAACTTCATACCAGCTGAGTATTAATGTTGTAGCATCAGGAGTTGCCGATTCAATTGTAAATGGAAATCTCACAGTAATGCCATTCCTCACTGTAGATTGGGCAAAATACATACTTAACTATCCCACTCTAGTGCCAATTTTGCTTGTTGAGATAACACAACTTCAGTATTTGGAAAGGTTTTTTTTTTTTCTTGCCTTTAAAAGTCAAAAGGCAATTTTTTTCTGAAAATAAAGTTGTTGGCAAAATTGGAAGTAAAGCAGAAGTGAACATCCTATATTGGCCATTCACCTTTTCCACACACCCCTCACTTGCTACTTAATCATGTACATTTGTAGTGTTTTAATTAGATCTTCATAACTTTTTATTTACTTTGAACTCATCTAAGACTCTCAAAACGCAAACCGTTCAAACTAAACAAAGACAAAAAGCAAAATAAAATCAGCCTTCCCCAAAACAGGAAACAGACTGATGCATGAATTCACAAAGAATGAAAGAAAGAATTTCCTAACTATAAAGCCTTCACCAGAAGAAAACACCCTCCCCACTACATGCAGGGTAAACCTACATGATGGCCAATGCTAGTTGGTATCACATTTAAGCCTTTCCTATAGATTCACCCCTACCATGCTGCCTACAGTGAATATAATTAGCTTGCAATTTTAAAACCCTTATTTGTTGTTCCCTTCCCCCTCACCTGTGTTTGTCCTTTAGGCTGTGAACTCCTCAAGGAAGTGTCCAGGTCCCTAGGAATGTCTGAAAAGCACTTAGCCCATTATGGGTACCACCACAAAACAATATGTGCTAATAATAACCATATTTGGGTGCTGGGGGAGATGACGGATCCTTGGAGTGCTGATGGAGTTGCGTTGATATTCCCAGGAACAGTTGTTAGGGCAGCTGGCTTTGACTAGTTTACATATTATTACTAGTAGTTCTAATCATCTTTGTTTATTGTTGTTGGAGCACTTAGGAACCTCAGTTGTGAACCAGGATTCCACTGTGCTTGGCACTGCACAACCCAGTACAAAAAGAGCTACCAATCTAAGTAGAAGACAAGAGACAACAGAAGGGTCAAACAGACAGTGGATTACAAGGTAACAATAAGACATATCTGAACCTCACATACTATGATTTTGTAATTGTCCACTGTGGTCTTATTCTGACGTCTTTTCTCTTTTACCCTCTTGTAGGTGGCTGGGGTCCAGAAGCTGCTCCTGAAGTACGTGTAAATACATTTGTACAAATGTAAGTACATTTTCACCTTTGGTCTTTTTTCATAGAAATGTCGGGTTGAAAGGGACCTTGAGAATTCAGCAAGTCCACCAAGTAAACCTAGACCATCCCTGACAGGGATTTGTCCAACCTGTTCTTAAAAACCTCCAGTGACGGGGATTCCACAACCTCTCTTGGAAACCAATTCCCTTATATTTTTAGTCAATTTTTTCCTAATCTCTAACCTAAATTGCCCTTGCTGCAGATTAAGCTCATTACCTCTTGTGCTACATGGAGATGGACATGGAAAACAATTGATCACAGTCCTCTTTGTAACAGACCTTAGGATATTAGAAGACTCTTTTCAGGTCCCCTCCTCCGTCTTCTTTTCTCACAATTAAACAGATTTGTTAATCTTCCTCATAGGTCAGGTTTTCTAACCTTTTATCATTTTTGTTATTCACCTCTGGACTCTCTCCAATTTGTCCACATCTTTCCTAAGTGTGACGCCCAGAATTGGACACAGTGCTTCAGCTCACCAGTGCCAAGTAGCATGGAACAGTTTTCTTCCACATCTCACATAACACTCCTGTTAATAAACCGAGTGCTATTAGCCTTTTTTGCAACTGCATCACATCGGTGACTCATATTCAATTTGTGGTCCACTATAAGCCCCAGATCCTCTTCAGCAGTACTATCACCGACCCAGGTATTCCCCATTTTGTAGTTCTGCATTTGCTTTTTCCTTCCTAAGGGAAGTACTTTGCACTTATCTTTATTGACTTTCATCTCGTTGAATTCAGCCCAATTCTCCAGTTTTTCAAGGTGGTTTTGAATTCTAATCCTGTCCTCCAAAGTGCAAGCAACCCCTCCCATCTTGGTGTCATCTGAAAATTTGATAAGCCTATCCTCCAGTCCATTATCCAAGCCATTAATAAAACCATTGACCAGTACCAGACCCAGGATGGACCCTCTACAACCCCACTAGACATTCCCAGTTTGACAGCAAACTATTGATAGTTTAAGTACAGTCTGTCAACCAGTTTTGCTCCCACCTAATAGTAATTTCATCTAGACCAGGCGTTCTCAACCTTTTTCTTTCTGAGGCCCTCCCAACATGCTATAAAAACTCCACGGCCCACCTGTGCCACAATAACTGTTTTTCTGCATACAAAAGCCAGGGCCGACGTTAGGGGGTAGCAAGCAGGGCAATTGCCTGGGGCCTTATGCCACAGGGGCCCCCGCGAAGCTACATTGCTCTGGCTTCAGCTTCAGCCCCAAGTGGCGAGGCTCAGAGCCCTGGGCTTCAGACCTATGTGGTGGGGCTTTGGCTTTTTACCTTGGGCCCCAGCGAGTCTAATGCTAGCCCTGCTTGGCGGCCCCCATGAAACCTGCTTGCAGCCCCCTCAAGCGGACCCAGACCCCTGGTTGAGAACTACTGATCTAGACTGCATTTCCCTAATTCAGTTAAGAGAATGTCATGTGTGATTATATATCAAAGGCTTACTAAAATCAATAACTTCTATTCTCTGGACTAGAATGAAAAGAAATTGTCTCAAGTTTATGATAAAACTCAAATGTGTCAGCGAGCATGAGAAATGAGACTTTATAAATTGCTTTAGAATTTCTGCAAACTTTGACGCCAACCTGCCTTCAAAGTAAATCAACAGCAGACTGAAACTCATGCTCCTTAGTAGAGATTATACCCCTGGTATCAATGCACAGAATTCTCTTAAGACAATGTATAACCCCCAGATCATTTGTTTTGTTTCTTCTGCTGACCAAACTTAGAAACTCTTCTAATGCCAATTAGCACACTGTTGAGAACATGCTGAATGTATACTTAGGATAAATAGCATCTTTAAATAACTTGTAAATTGTGGTTTATATCTGAAAAGCAACTCTCTGCAATTGGCAACTTGATATGTTTCTGCTTGTATTGTCTCAGTGATTCCACATCATATTGGCTCAGTTCAAAGTAAGTATTTCTTTATACAACACACAGTCAACCTGTGGAACTCTTTGCCAGAGGATGTTGTGAAGTCCAAGACTATAACAGGGTTAAAAAAGAACTACATTAGTTCATGGAGGATAGGTCCATCAATGGGTATTAGCCAAGATGAGCTGGGATGCAAAACCATGCTCTGAAGTGCCCCTAGCTGCTGTTTGCCAGAACCTAGGAATGGGTGACAGGGGATGGATCACTTGATTACCTGTTCTGTTCATTTCACCTGAAGCCGCTGGTATTGGCCACTGTTGGAAGACAGGACATTGGGCTAGATCGGGGAGGGGCAAACTATGGCCTGCCAGCTGTTTTAATCCGTCTCTCGACCTCCTGCTGGGGAGCGGGGTCTGGGGCTTGCCCCGCTCCAATGCTCCAGTTGGAGAGCAGGGTCGGGGGCCGCTCCACATGGCTCCCGGAAGAAGCAGCATGGCCCCCATCTGGCTCCTACATGTAGGGGCAGCCAGGGGGCTCCATTCCGGAAGCTGCCCCTGCCCCAAGCGCCACCCCCATAGCTCCCATTAGCCAGGAACAACAGCCAATGGGAGCTGCAGGGCGGTGCCTGTGGATGGGGCAGGTTGCAGAGCCGCCTGGCCGCGCCTCTGTATAGGAGCCGGATAAGGGACATGCCGCTCCTTCCGGGAGCCGCTTGAGGTATGCACCGCCTGGAGCCTGCACTCCTGAGCCTCTCCCTGTGCCCCTACCCCCTGGCCCAGCCCTCATCCCCCTCTGCTCTCCGAACCCCTCAATCCCAGCCTGGAGCACCCTCCTACACCCCAAGCCCCTCATCCTCAGCCCCACCCCAGAGTCTACACCCCCCAGCCAGAGCCTGCACCCACACCCCAACCCCCTGCCCCAGCCCTGATCCCCCTCCCACCCTCCAATCCCCTTGGTCCCAGCCTGAAGCACCCTCCTACACCCCAAACTCCACAACCCCAGCTGAAGCCCTCACCCACCCCCCTGCACTGCTCCACCCCAGCCCAGAGCCTAATTCTGTACCCTGAACTCCTCATTTTGGGCCCCACTGCAGAGCCTGCACCCCCAACCAGAGCCCTCACCCCTTCCCATACCCGAGCCCCTATTTTGTGAGCATTCATGGCCCACCATACAATTTCTATTCCCAGATGTGGCCCTCGGGCCAAAAAGTTTGTCCCTGGGCTAGATGGACCATTGGTCTGACCCAGTATGGCCGTTCTTATGTTTACAATAATTTTTTTTCCTAATTGCTAACATTGAAAACTCAACCACTATCTGAAAAGCTCACTGATTTTTTTCTAGCTCACAGATCCCTATGTGCCAGGCCAGATTAACTCTCCTGTGGGCCAGGAGCTATTAAATTTTGTGAGGCCCGTGGGTGTTTGGCGTGCAGGAATGGGCTCAGAGCTGGGGCAGTGGATTGGGGTACAGGAGGGGGTGCAGCTCCAGCTGGGGGGGGTGGGCTCTGGGGTGGGGCCAGGGATGGGCCGGGCTTGGAGTGCAGCAGGAGGTTCAGGGTGAGGGCTCTGAGTGGGAGTTTGGGTGCAGGAGGGGGCTCAGGGCTGGGGTAGGGGGTTGGGGTACAGGAGGGGGTGTGGGGCACAGGCTCCAGGCAGGAGGCGCTTACCTCAGGCGGCTCTTGGTGGCAGCGCAGCGGGGCTAAGGCAGGATCCCCCAGAGTTGCCAAATCCGTGAAAACCAAGCAGAAATTGGGCTTGTTTTAGGCTGAGTTGGCTTGTGCATTGTGTGTTGGCTAGCTTTTTGGCTTTCAGGGCTTTTACAGTAGTTTGTAGCTTCTTGTGTTTTGATTGGCTCCTGGCCCTGGCCCACCCCTGGTCCCAACCAATCAGAATGAGAGCTTGAATCGGGTGATTTTGGCTCCAGTCCAGCTACAGTGTGTGTGTATGTGTCCCTGCGTGCCTGACTGTGCATGGCAGCATGCTGAGCTGTTGTGTTAAGATTCTGCCATCAGAATGTAGTTAATAAATCTGTTGAAGATGCATGAGCCAGAATCCAGTTCAGTCTCCAAGGTTAAATTAACTCCACCTGCATAAAGCCCAACTATTGTCTCCTAATGTAGGTAGTTTTGAAGGAGGCTGGGGAGATTAAATCAACCATCCTCATTCCCACACAAAGTTGGGGTGTGACTACCACATAGCACCTCCCACAGAGCTGCTACTCTCAATAATGGCCTGGCTTAGTAGCCACAGCCTTCTCCAGGTGTTTCGGTGATGGTCGAATGGAGTACTGGATCATCACACCCACACAGATTTGTATTAATTTCCTTTCCATTCCCTCTATGGTTACTAAGCAACTGCAGGGGGATACAGCCAGTGGGGAAATGGAGAGGGAGTGAAACAACAAAGCTATTCATGTGGACAGCTCCTATATCCACAGAGGTAGTGACTTCCTTCCTCATGGATCCGGAGAATCGGTGGGGTTTGACACTTCATCTGGTATGATCTCTTCCCTCCTCCCCTCTCCGTAGGATAGTCCCTGTGGGAAGGTGACTGAGATTATCTGTCCTGACATTTTCTTAAGCTATGAATATAGCCAACAACTCTGAATGAACATAAGAACAGCCAAACTGGGTCAGACCATAGGTCCATCTAGCCCAGTATCCTGTCTTCTGACAGTGGCCAATGCCAGGTGCCCCAGAAGGAATGAACAGAACAGGTAATCATCAAGTGATCCCTTCCTTGTTGCGCATTCCCAGTTTATGGCAAACAGAGGCTAGGGACACCATCCCTGCCCAACCTGGCTAATAGCCATTGATGGACCTATCCTCCATGAATTTATTTAGTTCTTTTTTGAACCCTGTTATAGTCTTGGCCTTCACAACATCCTCTGGCAAAGAGTTCCACAGGTTGACTGTGCATGGTGTGAAAAAATACTTCCTTTGTTTGTTTTAAGTCTGCCTATTAATTTAATTGTGTGACCTCTAGTTCTTGTGTTATGAGAAGGAAGGGAGAAAGAAGGGAATTCTGCAGACTTTTTTTTAATGTGGGATGGATGCAAAGCAAAACTAGAAATGATTATGAAATTATGAAGTATG